ACTAAGGCATGTGCCACCAACGCCTGGCTTTTACTTTGGAGCTGGGGGTCAGGCTGGCTTCTGAGTCCTGAATCTGCTCTAATTATCTTTAGTCTTGGGCTTCTACCCAAGTCTGCATCCATTTCTGCATTATAAGATGAGGACACCCAAGACACTCCTGCTCCTCCTCCCCACTCCCTTCCCCCAACCTGAGCTGGTCAGAGATGTGGTAAGAAGGCTCAGCTTGACAACAATTTCTTTTGAGGTATAATATCCCTTTGATTGCTTTTTTTTGCTGCATTCCACGGGTATTTGGGTTCTTTATTATTTTTGTTACTAGTTAGTTTCAGGTATTTTCTAATTTCCCATACGATTTTATCTGTGATTCATGGAGTCAATTAAATGAGCTTTAAGTTTCCTGATACATGGTTTTTGCTTGTTCCTTTTAAAAAATTTATTTTTATTCTTATTATATTGTTGTACTGGGGGTACATTGTGACATTTACAAAAGTACTTACGCTATATCTTAAATTCAGACTGTTGACAATTTAGCCCCAATAAAAAACAGAACGGAAGAAACGGTACCTCTCTACACCTGAGACCCCTAAGGAATCCTAGCTCATCTCTTCCTTTTCTCCCACCCATCGCCACCACCTTGCTTCCCACGGGGCTGTTTTGTGAGCTCTTGATTTCTTCAGTCAGGGGTCTGCACTGGGTGCCATCCAAGGGTACAGTGGAGTATGAGTAGATGTTGAGTTTCTGTAAATGACAGCACCCTCGCTGTGGCTGTCCAAAGCACAATTATCAAGTAGGCAAAGTTTGCCTTGGGCACAAACCCACTTTCCTTTTCTACTCTCCCAATGTTCAAAACCTCTGGGCTCCTGTTTCCTGTTCCCATGGCCTCATAAACTGTTTCACAGGGCCTGTTAATAACTTTGTCAAGGGTCCCTCTGTGAAGCAGGATCATTTTAACCACATGACTTACTCAGTCACAGGGGTCTTCAGGAGAGGAGGAAGAGCTGGCAGTCAGCAGTCAGATCTGAGGGCTGCCACTAGATCAGAGAGCTGGCACATTTCTTTCTTCCAGTTTCCTCAAGGGTATAATGGGGGTAAAGGTCACTTCCTTAAGCACTTGTTGCAGTGATGAAATGAGACTAAAATGTGCCAAGTGGCCTGGCAGGCAGAACTCTTTACAGATATTAAAAATGACTTCACAGAAACAGGAAGGGCGTCTCTTAGCATCCAGCACCAAGCCTTATAGATCTGTGCAGAGACAGTGCCCAGATAAATGGAGCCTTTGGCTTATGCATTTCCCTGTGACTGTTATCACCTGACTGGGGGCTCTGCAAGGACTCAGTTTCCCTATTTTTCTCTACCACTGAATGCGCCCCCCTCCAACCCAACCACACATTCACCAAGTGTCCAGGACAGAAAGTTGGCTTCGGAGTGGTTGAAACAGACATGTGAAGGGTCCTAGGAACGAGTAATTAAGCAATAGCTTAAACATAATTGTGGCGGAGATAGCGCTACTTGAGGGTGACGAGCTGGACTGTGCAGTCAACAGATGCATGTGTGGGGGAGGGGAAGTCCATCCATCCTTCATGTCCTGCTTCATTTCTGTGATGGAGAGCATCTCTTTCCCAGTTTTGACCTGACATTGGCCAGTGTCTGCATGGTGGTACCTCAGGGTCTTGTCTTCCTGCAGACTCAGTCTTTGTGTTTCTCCTCCTGTCCCCCGGCTCCTCTCTTAAATGACCTCTGGGGGCTTTGAGACCTAGTGTTGGCTGAGATTGAGGGTCTTGGCCCTCACTGGGCTCTGATTCAGGAGTGGCCAGGTGAACATGCGAGTGTTCTTGATCTCTTTTGGCCTTCTTGGGAGCCAACAGCCTATCGGGCCTGGGGCCTACAAATTTCCTGGGTGTTGCTTCGGTCACTTTCCCCCAAGGCAGCCCTGAAGAGCTGGGATTTTCCTGAGGCTGTGCTGAAAACAAGGCTTCATCCTCCTGTTCATGCCATGTTTCTACCTTGCCCTTCCTTTTTGGGCTCAGCAGGAGGTGGGGTGGCGCAGGGTTTCCTCCTCCTGAAGCAGAAGGGACTTTTGATCCATCTCCTCTTCCTTTTCCCACAGCACCCCATTGGTGGTTCTCTCTACTGCCTGTATGAGCCTCCTAGAGTGGCATCAATGGCCTAAGGGATGTCTCCTCGAAACCAGGAGAACCCCCAGCCCAGGCGGCATGAGGCTCCTTGTGCCTCACTGGAGCTGAAGGACTCCCAGAGCTCTCCTGGACCCCACAGAGCCTGAATTCTGGCACTATTTGTTACTGCCTCCAGAGATGCCTTTCTTTTATAGCCTGTGATGTCCCAATTCCCCTGAGAAAATGGCAGGAATAATCACCATAAGGATGACTTAGTGTGTGCCTCATCTGGATGGGCTGGTTGTTTTCAGCCAGGCTTTTCAGGACCCTCGACTCTCATGAACTTGACTCTGTCTCTGTTTCAACTTGCTTACACGTGTGTTGTAGACATGGCGCTCTCTCTTGGCCCCTGGAACATCTAAGTCCTGCCTCATTAGAATCTTTCCAGACAACTGTCCCCTTTGCCTGGGCTGCTCCTGTTCTAGCTGCTGGCAAGGCTGGTTTCTTCTCAGTCACTCATCCACTCAGCAAACTTTTTTTTTTGGTGGTACTGGGGTTTGAACTCAGGGTCTACACCTTGAGCCACTCGGTCAGTCCTTTTTTGTGAAGGGTTTTTTCGAGATAGGGTCTCATGAACTATTTGCCCAGGCTGGCTTCGAAGCGCAATCCTCCTGATTGCTGTCTCCTGAGTAGCTAGGATTACAGGTGTGAGCCACTGGTGCCCAGCTACTCAGCAAACTTTTATTGTGCCCTTACCAGTTATCAGTGTTAGGTACTGGGGCTCAGTGGTGAGTAAGGAGAGCTTATGAGGTAGTCACCAGAATGCCCTGGGTGAGGGTGAATGTCCTGAACTGCCAGGAAGCAGCTGTGTGGTGCTTGTTATAGGAGATCTGGGAATGCTTTCCTGAGGAAGTGAAGGCAGCTGAGATCTGAAGGCGGAGGAATGAATGGGGCTGAGAGGGAGGAAATAGCTGGTGCAAAGACCTTGTGGTAGGGGCCAAAGAAGGTGTAGGGCCAGGATAAAGGGCTGAAGGAAGAACAGGGATTTGGGGAAGAAGTAGCACTAGCTCAGATCTTCCCATCTGTTTCTCTCCTCAGTAAAACACCAGTGACCCCCCTGAGTAGGTTCGAGGACTGACTTTAGGCTTCACTAATCCCTCCTTCTCCTGTTGTCCATGAGGCAGCTCCCAGCTGGTTTCCTTCCTGGTCTCTCACAGGTCTTTTTTCTCTCTTTTATAAGATTCCTCCCTTCCATGTAACCATCTACTATTTCCCAGAGCAGCCCAAGGCCCCCACTTTCTCTCTATCAGATGATTCTGCCCATGTTGTGCTTAAACAATAGCAATGGTGACCTGCAACTTTGGTCACTTGGACTTCTTCTCGGAACCCTCACCGTTTACCTCACATTCCCGCTTAGTGGTCACAAAGCTTCCTGCAAGTCAGTTTGTACCCAAAATCCAATGATTTTTTTCCCTCTAGACTTGATCCCCTTCAGCATCTCCATGTCAGTGCACGGCCCACCATCCACGTGTGCAAGAGGTCTGCAGGAGCTGATGCCTTTTCTCCATACCACATAAATCAGAACTGAGCTCTGGAGACTTATCTTCTAAATAGCTCTCAAGTTCAAGTTCACCTGCTCTTCTCCCTTCTCCACCACTAGCAGCTCAGTCCTAACCACCACCAATTTTTGCTTGGATTACAACAGCTTCTCCCCCCAACACCTTTTCTTGGCAGTACTGGGGTTTGAACTCAGGGTCTTGGGCTTGCTAGGTAGATGCTCTGGTACTTGAGCCACAGCTCCAGTCCTAACAACAGCTTCTTAACTAGTACCCCACACCCATGACTGCTTCTTCCAACTTACTGTCCTCTGTGCTGCCAGGCTGAGCTTTGTGAAACATACGTTGATCTCATCACTGGGTCACTGGGCTGGGTGTGGGGCAGAAAGTTCTTGGTCTCGTTGGAGAAAGAATTCAAGGACAGACACAGGAGACTTGAACAGGAGCAGGTCTATTAATGCACAGCAAGTGAAAGCAGAGCAGAAGTGCCCCCTTCACAAGGCCGGGGTGGGGGCAGGCTCAAGAAGGAGGTAGCAGGCTTTTATGGGAGCTGTGGACATGGGGGTGGTCAGTCCTGGAAAACTGGGTCAGTGTGTCATTAACTGTCTGGGTCATGAATTCCATCCATGTGTGGGCGGGGGAGTTCTTGGCCTTGGACTTGTTGGGATGGTCAGACCGGGGCTGTGGGGATGCTGGTCAGAAGACCCTGCTGTATGTCACAAGGCATCCCATTAACATCAGTAGGCCAGGACTCTCAGCCATCAGGTTCCTAACTGCCATATCACCATCACGCCATCATGCCACATCTACTTTCAGTGGGATCCAATGTGTAAAACCCTTCCCTGGCTTCTGGGTTCTCTTAGCAGGAAGGAAGACAATCTTTAAGAAGGACCACGTGGTCCTGTTGCTCTCCCAACACTCCTTCCCTACTGCCTCATTGATAACTTTGGTGGAATTTGTGGGCCACTGGCCTCCTTGCTTGGGCTTGAGAAACCCAGCTCATTCATAACCATCTCTCAGGAGAGAGCGATTCTTTACCTGGCTCCTCTTGTCCATTTTAAGTCCATCCCTATTAGCTCCAGTTGAGGAGCTGGCTGGTCAGTTCATCTTTGGCATATTTCCTCTTTGGAGCCATGCCTCCCTGGATTTATCACGAGCTCCCTGCTTCCAGTCATAGGCTGTAGTTTTTGCAAAAAACGCACTAGGTTTAAAATGCAGACTTTCCCTGTTCCCTTTGGTTATGAGACCATGGCCCAGGTTATTCCCAGGGGAAACCACCCTTAGGAACCCTTTCTGCTTCTCCTCATATGTCTCTGTCTCCCCATTGTAGCCATGGAAATAAAGAAACCTTCTCTTGCCGGGGAATCCAGCTGGCTGTGAACTGGTTCAGGGACAGAGGACACACCTACATCAAGGTTTTTGTTCCATCCTGGAGGAAAGAGCCATCGCGATCTGAAACGCCTATAAGAGGTACGCTGGGGCAGGTGACGGTTGGAGGGTGCCATGCCCCCATCCTTGGCGCTGCTTCCTGTTTAGTTACTGGCTTAGTTACTGGTCCACCTTAGTTACTGGTCCACCTTCCTCACTGCACTGAAAACTCTGGAGGCCCTGACTGTGAATGTTTGGAACCCCAGAGTTAGCACCTGGCATGGAGCAGGCGTTCAATATTGAATAGATGAATGGATAAATTATCTTTTAGCATGAATGATTAAGTTCTGAAAATAATTGTGTCTCACAACTTTTAATGCTCTGAAGAAAGATGGATGACGTCCCAGCCCTGAGAATGAACAGGGGTTGAAAGAGACATCCATCTGCCAGGCAATGTTGATTATTTACTCCACGCTTTTCTTTAAAGAAGATGGAAGTTGAGGCCCAGGAAATTCTCTTTAAGAGATGGGAATTGAGTCCAGGGCTTCCCACATGCTAGGCAAGTGCTCTGTCACTGAACTATGTTCCCAGCTCTACTTTAATTCTCAAATCGCTGAGAAATATTTTGAGGCTGTAAATAATAGAGCTGTGGTTTACATAAACAGGGTTCTGTTCAGCTCTCTATAACCCAGAGACAGATGCTCAGTCATTGCTGGAATCTGTTCAGCCAAGTCAGCACCAGGAGGCCACCTCTCAGTCACCGGTGACGCTTCCCTGACTTTTCCTTCCTGCCTTCTAAAAAACTTTTGCCTTTGCTTTGTTTTTAATTCTCTCAATGGTTACCAGTTGCTGCTGCTTCTCTCTCTCTGTTAAAACATGCTGCTCTTATCTCATGGATGCCAGTATCTTCTTGAATATTTTGTACTAACAGATTTAAAAAAAAAAAAAAAAACTTCCACAAATGCTATAATGCTCTTTTTTTCTGTGGAATCAGTGCTCCTGTTCATCTCTCTCCCTCCCTCCCTCCCTTCTTCTTTCCTCCCCTGCTTTCTCTCTCTCGCTTATGCTATTAGCTTTTTCTTTCAAAAGTCTAGTTTTGATGTGAATAAAAGAGTTAGATTGGCAAGTGCCCTGGGTTTCTCTCCTAGGATTGGGGTCTGTCCCTGAATGGCAGGGATGACCACTGGTTCCAAATGGCACTTTCCACTCCCGCATGCCCTGGGCGAGCAGGCAGGTAGCAGTGCCTCTGTCCGCTGCATATTCCAACTTCACAACAATACGGGTCTATTCTGTTCTAGGAGATGGGCTCAGTAGAGCCTTCCTCCTGCTGACGGTGTCTCCTTCTTCATAGCAATAGGGGCAGGAGATGGGTGCAGGGCCCATGAGTGGCCCTGTGTGAGCCACCCATCTCTATCCACCTGCCTTCCACCCCCTCCTCCACCTGGAGTGCTCCATGGCTTCAGAACACAACTCCTATGTCTGCTCAGCCTCCTGTGCACTTTGTGGGCTGTGGTGCCCTCCACTCTGTAAGGTCAATATGGTCCTTTCTACTTTCTGTCAAAAATTTGTAAAAATCCTGGGTTTGCTGCTGTCTCCAAGTCCACTTATTTTTTCCCTTTTTTGGCAGTGCTGGGGTTTGAACTCAGGGCCTCACTCTTGCTAGGTAGGCGCTGTACCACCTGAGCCACTCTGCCAGCCCTGTTTTGTGTTGAGTATTTTTGAGATAGAGTTTTGTGAACTATTTGCCTGGGCTGGCTTCAAATTGTGATCCTCCTGATCTCTGAGTAGCTAGGATTACAGGTGGGAGCCACTGGCACCTGGCTCCACATCCACCTTTCATGCCCTTTTCTTCTTCTCCACTGCCATTTCTATAGGATTTATAGGAAGATAGAAACATACTGTGTTCAGTTCTCCACCATGAACTGGCTACCCCAAATAATTCTTTATGGTCTGGACATGGCGGCTTCAACCCTTTAGCTGTAGAGTATTTACATATAACATGGGTAAAGACTAGGAAACGTATTTTGGGGTAAGGAAGGGGGAAAAAGGGAAAAGATGAACAAACAACTATATTAAAATAGAAGCTTTTATTCATTAGTAGATGCCACACAGAAAGAAAGAAAAGACTAGCATGAAACTGAGGCAGGCTATACATTACAAATTGCTGTTGAAAAATTACTGTATGGATCTATGGGGAACCTCCACAAATTAATGAGACAAGGACAATGAACCAGTAGGAAGATGAACCAGTAGAAAGAGGAGCTAAAAGGGCGGGTGTGTTGGCACATACTCAGGAGACAAAGACTGAGAAGATCGAGGTTCTAGGACATCCTGGACAAAAAAGTTAGTGAGATCCCACAGATTACTTCTGTAATCCTAGCTACAAGTGATAGATAGGTAGGAAGATTGAGGTGTGAGGTTGGCTCTAGCAAAATGTGAGAGCTTGTCTGAAAAATAACTAAAGCAAAAAAGGGCTGGGGTATGTGTTTCAAGTGTTAGAATGCCTACCCAGCAAAAAAGAAAAAAAAGGAAAAGAAAGAAAGATGCACTAAAGCACGAGTAAGCCTTTCACAGGCAACATAAATGTCCATAAACATATGCAAAGATGGTCGCTTTCATTAGTAATCAGAAAGGAGTACAAAATAAAAGCCACAAAAGGCTATCTTATACCCACCTGATTGCAAAACTTAATCGAGGTCTACCCTAGGTTGTTCCTTGGACTTCTGTGCCAGGGATTCACATACAAACTGACAGCTGTGATCATATGGGCCTGGCCAAGCCTCACCAATACAATGGTAAATGAAGAAGAAGTTGTATAATGCATGTATAGGGCTGGCGGAGTGGCTCAAATGGTAGAGCACTTGCTTAGCAATCCCAAGGCCCTGAGTTCAAACTCTAGTACCTCATCTGCAAAAAGTGCATGAATAGAAGAATTCCATTTGTGTAAAGTATGATGTGTAGCTATATTGAAAATGGTCTCATACACACGTCTTGTTTGGCGGTACTGGAATTTGAATTCAGAGCCTTGTGTTTGTTTATTTAAAAAAAAATAAAAGCAAAATTAAAAACACTAAGTTCCACAACTTGGGTTATCTTTAGGGGAAGAGAGAGGACCTGGAGCTGGGAGTGGCAGCAGGGACTTCCCAAGGATGGCCCACCTTCAACTTCTCAAAGTTCATGGTGTTTTTTTAATTGTACTTTGTACCATAGATACATTACACACCTTTTAAGGCAAGTGCTCTACCACTGAGGTACACCTTTTTCTTTCTTTTTTTATTTTGTGGTACTGAAGATCAAAGTCAGGGCCTTATGCATGCTAGGCAAGCACTCTATCACTGAGCTGCACCCTCAGTCCTGCATCCTAGCACTTTTTAAATTCTGGAAATGACTTATATTGAAAAGTACTTAAACCCGAGGAAGAAACCATTTTTGAAGAATATGCTAATAGTTCTGAGTAATTTGAACTTGTGTGCAAGGGACTTACTTTTTTGTGTCTCTAAAGGCAAAACTAAGATCAGACACTAGGTGTTCCTTTCCTGGGATGTGAACATTTAGTCCCCTATAGGAAAGATTTTGCTCATATTTGGGCAAGTTTACTTGGCCTCACAGCACTGTGGAATAGGTAAAGATCACGATGTTATCTCCATTTATGAGTGTAAAATTTGGTGTAAAGAGGGGTGCAATACCCCAGAACTGGAGCACATCCCAGAATCTAGGCTCTGCATTCTTGGATTCACTTTTTTTTTTCTTTTTAGTGGTACTGGGATTTGAACTCAGGGCCTCATGCTTGCTAGGCAAGCGTTCTATCACTTGAGCTACTCCGCCACCCCTTCAAGTTCCACATTTTTAACCCCAGACCTGTGTTATTACATTCTTGAGCAGCCTAGAGCTGTGTGTTGTGGGATGCTCCAGCCCAGAAGTATTGGTGCAGAGTCTTCTATGAAGGGTAAGATGCACCCAGGCTCCTGAGAAGGGCCCACGTGGGGGCCTTCCAGGTGGATGACATGTTGCTTGTTATTGCTCAGGCATCACCAGGTTCCAGGTAAATCAGGAAACTCTCCAGGAGAAGGTCCTTTGTCTATTACAGTAGGGCAATGCCACAGGTACCCTCTAAAGGACAAGAGCTGCACCTGATATCTCCTTCAGATGGAAGATGGGGCTCTCACTTGTTGGCTACCATTCCCTGAACTGTCATGACATAGGCAGAACAGAAGCCTGGCCCTCAGGCTGCTGGCAAATTCAGTGAAGTTTAGTGAAAGAAGTAAGCACTGGGTGGTGGTGGTGGTGAGAAACTGGTGTTTGTTCCCTGCTCTGGAGACCTCTTGCCTCCATCTGACAGCTGTGGGCGGGTGGGGAGGTGGGAATGGCTTAGGAAGATCTGTAGGCTATGGCTGGGGTCTGTCCCCAAAGCCCTGATATGTGGTCTCTGTATGTGGCCCCCTTGCGTGGTCCCAGAGCAGCACGTGCTAGAAGAACTGGAGCGGCAGGCCGTGCTAGTGTACACCCCGTCTCGCAAGGTGAATGGCAAGCGGGTGGTCTGCTATGATGACCGCTACATCGTGAAGGTGGCCTACGAGAAGGATGGCATCATCGTCTCCAACGACAACTACCGCGACCTGCAGAGCGAGAACCCTGAGTGGAAGTGGTTTATCGAGCAGAGGCTGCTCATGTTCTCCTTTGTCAATGATAGGTATGGGTGTTGGGGGCCTCACACAGGGCTGGGTGATGGAGGAAAGCCCCTCCCGTGTCCAGGCAAAGCAGGAATGGGGAGTACAGACAAGCCCAGCCCTGCAGAGTTGACCTGAGGCACCCACTCTCCCTCCCCAGGTCACGCAGTCATCTCTGTCCTTCTGAATCTCCTCTTTCATGACTGATTCCCTGTGGGCCTTTTCTTTCCCAGGGCGGTTTTGGCCTTGACCTTGCAGTTCCCGCCTATGGCTACGTCTAACTGACTTACTGCAAAGTTGCGCAATAGGTGGGCCAAGAGTGTGCTTAGCACACTATGTGTTTTTGGAGAGGTCCCTTATCCCCAGCTAAGGGGATGTGTGTGTGTGTATGGGGGGTTATCCAAGGCAAATGTGCTTGGGCAGACACTAGAAGCCTGGCACGTGGACACCACCTGGCACTGCAAGCTGGGACACCACTCGCACTCCGGTTTCTGTTCCAGACAGTGATGGCTCAGCTCTGTAAGGGCAGGGACTGTATCTGTTCACCTGCTGTGTCCCCAGGATGCCCAGCACACAGAGTCACAATAGTTAGCGGTACTGAAGGAGCGCATGAACGCATGGCCAGGCGAAGAAAGGATTGAGGGGAGAGGAGGAGGCATGTGAGCTGGGCTCGGGCCGGTGGCCCGTGACATAGCAGGTCCTGACACTGAAGCCAGGGAGGCCCTGTGATGCAGTGGAAGGAGCTGGGCTTCGGACCTTGCAGGAGAGGCCCTGGCCTGTTGAGGTGCTCATGGGGGAATCAGCCTTACAACAGTAGTACCTGAGATCATGAGGACTAGAGAGAGTTGTGGCCCAGAAGTGGCAGCCTTACTCCTAGGCCAGACCAGGACTTGGTGCCCCAGGGTACACTGTTATCCCCCTCCCCCACCGCTGAGGATGTGAAGATGTCCTGCCATACTCCTGGGCAGATACTCAGCAGCAGCCACCCTGCAGTAACCCCCACTGCCATTTCCAGAGACTTGAGACCAGCGGCTCTCTCTGTCCAGTTTTGGCCTGGAGGAATCTGGTAACTGTGGTTCTAGAAATCCTCACTGGGGGCTGATGGATTATGGCCTGGTGACAGCCAGGGGCCCAGGCCAAGTCCTTCTGATGTGCAGACCTCAGTGAAGGGGCAGCCAGAAGGCAGGGCCTGCCCACTGCCTATGCGTGAGAGTGTCTGCCCCAGCGCCCTGGGCATGTCCCCAGAGCCCTCTTGGCACAGCTCCTGTTCCTGTGAGAGCAGGAGCTGAAGCCTTTGGGAACTTGCAATAACCGCAGCAGGCGCCTGCTCAGATTCTTGGTCAGTGCCCAACTCTGAGAAGCCGGCCGTACAGCTGGGAGCTGAGCACCAGAGGCCGCACTGGGCCAGTGATTGCCTAATTCTCCCTAGACGGGACCTCAGCTCTTTGACTATTGGGGGGCGAGACACACAGCAACCCATAAAAACAGTCCCCCCTCCTTTCTGCAGAACCTTTGTGTGGCCTGGAAGGGTCTCCTGGGAACAAAAGTTCTCATTTAGAATGGTGGGGCTCACTAAACAGGAGCTCTCCTCCTGAGGAACTGGTTTCCCCTTCAAGCCCTGAGTAAGGACACATTCCCTTGCTGGTCAGGGCTCTGTGCCAGGTGCCAGGGAGGAGGACCAACAGTGGACAGGCTGCTGTCAGAGGACCACAAGTGTAGAGTCAGGGCAGTCCCAGAAGCTGGGATAAGCCCAGAGTCCCAGGGATTTGCAGAGGAGGGATTAGTTTGGGCATTGTGAGCTGGTGGCCCTGGGCTCTGCTTCTTCACCCACTTGCTGTCAGTACTGACCCTTCCCTGCATATGCCCTGCGTTTGGCAAGGGGTGAGGCCACAGGAGGAAGGGGCTTAAACCTGAAGGAGTTTCTGCAACTCCGACACCTTCTAGGAGCTGTCTGTTAATGCCTTGGAGGTTCCTAAACGTTCATGAGGGAAGCAGATGATGTCCTAGCAATTCTGCATCCATTTTCCTGGATAAAAATCACCTGGGCAGTTGTTAAATTGCAGATTCCTTAGCAGCTTCAGATTCCTATTAAGCAGGTGCAGTGTGAAGCCAGGACTGCATTTGCAAGAGTGGAGAGTGCCTCAAGCCCTCATGTATTGCCCCACAGAGGGAGTAGCTCAGGGGAGAGGAGGGCAAAGGCTTAGTGCAAAGGGAGGCTATGATAACTCTCCTGAGTGCGTGGTCCATGCCATCTGGGGTTCACTGAGTGGCTCCAGCCTGCTCCCCTCACCCCCCATGTGAATGCCAGTGGCCCCTCTGTGATTATTTTCTAGGTTCATGCCGCCTGATGACCCCTTGGGCCGCCGAGGACCCACTCTGAGCAACTTCCTGAGCAGGAAGCCAAGGCCCCCAGAGCCATCCTGGCAGCACTGCCCCTATGGTGGGTAGCATCCGGACCTCGTGGGCCCTGTCCAGAGACTGGTGTATGGCAGCACAGGGGCACAGTTGAAAGCACTGGCCTAGCAGCCAGCAGCCTGGGCTGCAGTACGTGTTCTGTCCTTAACTAGCCGTATGTTCCTGGAGAGGAACTTAACCTCTGGACTGCAGTTTCCTGACAGGGCTCCTGAAAGGATGAAGTGACATCCCAGACACTGTGACTGTGTAGGGGCTGAATGTGGGGGTCACACACAGGGCAATGCTGTGTATGAGAAGTTGGGAGGCTGTAAGCTCCAGACTCTAGTGCTCCACCTCTTCACTGAGGTCCCCTCTGCCTTAGTTCTCATCCTGTCTCACAGACAATCACAGATAGGCTTTGGTCCATTCTATTCATTAAGAGTTAGGGATTTATTTTATTTTTTATCACAGCTGGCCTTCTAGCCAGCTAACCTGCCTTAACTAAGTAATCTGAACTAACCAGCTTTGATAAGTTTTTAATGTTCCAGGGCTTGTTTTTTGTGCTTACAGAAATCCAGTAAGACTTTAGATGACATTCAAAGTCATTTCTTGTTAGAATTACAGTAACCACGCAAACATTCATGTTGGTCTGGCCTGCTCCCTTTCACTATCCAAAGTGCCTGCGTTTAGATGATGAATTATTTGATCATTTGATTGTTTTTATTAGAACATAGTGTAGGTTGAGGGCAGTGTTAGCGCAAGGGGCAATGGACAGTGGTGGAAACAAATTCGGTGCTGGAGGCTGTGCCCAGGTCTCAATGCCCCGTGTGAAAGGCCAGCTCTATCCACAGGGTCCCTGGAGGAAGAAGAGGCTGAAGGTCAACAGATCCAGAGATTTGGTCAGACCATTGTCAAGTGGAGTTCCTGGACCCATCCTTGATCTGCTGACTTGGGGGTTATTGCACCCGTCCCACTCGTGTCCCAAGGCTCTCCTCACCTCTGTCGCCTACCAGAGCCTGAGCCCTTTCTGCAGGGCTAAGGCAGCAGAGCCCGCAGTGTCTGGGGGACTTCAGGGAAGAATTTCTATGGAGACTGGCCAGGGGCCAAGCATTGCGGGGACCTCACAGCCTCTCCACGCCCCAGGTCTCACCCTGCGTTCTCTCTGCCCTGCCCCCTCCTAGGTAAGAAATGCACCTACGGCATCAAGTGCAAGTTCTACCACCCGGAGAGGCGGCACCAAGCGCAGCTGGCGGTGGCAGACGAGCTCCGAGCCAAGACATGGGCGCGGCCGTGCAGGGACGCGGAGGAGCCGCGGCCTCCGAGCGCGCGGGGCGGCCCCGCAGCAGCCCGGCCGGCTCCCCGCGAGCGCGGCGCGCACAGCCTCCCGCCCGTGGACGTGACCGCCCTGCGCGGGAGCTTCTCGAGCCTGGCGGTCAGCGACAACCCCGCCTGCGGCCATGCGCCCGGGCCGCTCGCTCCCGACAGGCTGCGTTCGTCGTCGCCGCGGGCGCATGGCGCGGCCACCGCAGGGCCACCGGGCTTCGGGCCGCTGCTGCCAGGCCCGCGCGACCACCCGGCCCCGCTCTGCCCGCAGGTCCAGCCACCCGGCCTACACGGCCCCAGGGACGTGTACAGCGACCTGCTTCCCCAGCGCAGACCGCCCGACGACCCGTGGGCCCGCCTGCCCAGCTCCGACCTATTTCTGAGTCACTCGACTTGGGCAGAGCCTTCTTGGGGCGACGGCGCCTTTGGGGGACCTTCGGGGTCTGGGCCCTCAGCCGCTGATGGCTAGTGGGACGCGCACTTCCCAGGGAGCAGTGAGCTCTGCTGTGTCTTCCCGCCCCACCAGGTGGACCTGTATTGGCCTCTGGTCCTGCCCTCTCCAACCTGGCCAAGCTCATCCTCCTCCTGGCAGAGATCCCAAAGGGCTGGCTCATGGCTGGAACCCCACTAAGGGACCAGTGAGTGCCACTGCAAGGGATGGTCCACTCTTGCCCTGCAACTTGGGCGGGTCGGGCGGGCCGATGGTTGCCAGCCTGGGCCTGAGTAGGCTGCAGAAAGAACCTCTTTTCTTTAAAGCTGGTTGGAGGAGACTTTCTCTTCTTCCTCAGTGGTGGATGCCCAGGTGGCACTTAGTGACCCTAACTGAGGCCAGGGCCTGCTGCGGGAAGGGAGTGATTTCTTTTATGCTTGGGAGACTCCAGCTTCCATTCCAAGGTCCAAAGCTTTGTCCAAAAGCAAAGCTGTTTGCGTCCAGCTGCAAGCAGCATCCACAAGTGCCATAAAATCACTTCAGTGGGTCACCATTGAATACACAAATAGGAAATACCAGAGCACACCCCGTGAATCAGGCTAAGTACAAACTCCCGTTGTTTATATATGTGTGTCTGCCATGTGAAGTTGTCAGTCATGTGGAAGTTTGAAAAAGACTGGTAAATGAACTTGACTTTCGTTGTATCAAACAATGTTTAGACTATGTGGTCAGGGGTAGGGAGTTTTGGTGTTTGGAAGTTGTTTTGGGGGATGAGGGCTTGCTAGGCAGATTACTCTAGCTTTGAGGCAGGACCTCAGCCCCCCCCCTTTTTTTTTGCTTATTGTTTTTGCATGGTGTCTTGAGCTTTTTGCCCTGAGTCTGATCGGGACTGCAGTCCTCTTGCCTAAGCCACCCGCATAGCTGGGGTTACAGTCTCAGGTCAGTACACTGGTCCTGGAAATTTCACGTTACCTGTTGCTACCCTCACCCACAAGGGGAGCCCACCCTTGTTGTGTAGGCTTTTCTGTGGGGCTGTGTGGGGCTATGGGTGTGGCAGGGACACTTGATCCCGAGGGCCTTGTCACAGGGCCTTCACCCCTTTCGAGCACACGTCATACAGCCCAATATAACACACACACACACACACACACACACACACACACACACACACTGCTTTGCTTAGGGTTCTCTTTCTTGTTTTTCCAGCCATTCATCATGGCAGTTTCCAGCACAAGCCCTTTTAAAATCACACCTCACAGTAAAACAGGGCATGAATCAGAATGCTTTTGCCCAGAAAGCTCCAGATGAGTTACAGGATAGCTGGGTTCTCCCGGAAGTTAATCACCACCTTCATAGCAAGAGCTGTCTGGACAAGAAATGAGACAGTGCAGACATGAACCCCTGCATCCTCAGGGACCCTGGCACCTTAGGTGGTACCCACCTGTTCTTGTTACGGTGGCAGCCCTCCAGGTTGTGGCTCATTTGTTCATTAGGGGATTTGGGAGTCAGCAGTTCAGAGAGCGTTGGAGGCGCCTACCAGTGGAAACCTGTCCCCAACGCTGCAAGTTCCTGCTGTCTGGCCATCACAGGGGGAAACGCTTTCCTGTTTATTACTATGCTGTGTGTGTTGTTGGCACAGCCAAGGATACATCTCTGGTGGAACACGGTCATGGTAAACAACCCTCCTTGCAATATAGTGATGGCGTGACTTCCTCTTTTTAAACCAAATCTCAGCATTGCATCAGGCAGACTTATTCCTTACCTTCTTTTACCAAAAAGGAAGCTGGACCCACAATGTGGCCGTATCAACTTAGGATCTCTGCCCTGAAGACAGCCCACTCTCCTTCGACATCTGATGTGTGTGTTTCCTCTTGGCAAGACAAGCTTGCTGTTAGAGCTGCTTTTTGTTTTTCTGGCTCTGTCTTCTGGTGGGAATTCACTTGCATTGCTAATTTACAGTTGGAACTGTTTAAACTGCTCCCTTCGAGGACAAGTTTGAGTTTTAGTAAGCTGTAAAGCAATTTTATTCAGTTCACTGTGATGAAAACAAATAGTCCCCAAAAGTGAAGAATGAGCACATTTCAAGTGTAATCCCCTTTGGAGTTTTTCCAAAGTCTTAGTATGTCTCTGTGACACAAAAACATGGATGAGACTGGTAAGCGGAATGTTCCCAGTTACATTAGCTGTTACTATGCTTCAGAAATAAATCACTTTTTCACACCTGGACTCTATCGTCAAATTGTGGATTTCCTCCTCTTGCCCTTCCCTCCTCCACTGGTTTCTCGGGGTCAGTATTGTGGGTGAATGCTCAGATCCGTGCTGTTCAGTGTTACTCTCTGTTGGGGGCAGAAGTGAGGGCTCCAGTCTGCCTTTTCCAGAAGCAGGCAGGCCCACAGCTAGCATACACCTTTGGGACACAGGCTGCTTTCCTGTTGGCTACTTTCACATCCTCATTACAGATGATGGAGGAGTCTCACAAACAGCTCTTCTTGTTGACACCTGCAACAGAGTTCTTGCTGTTCCCAGGAGTCCAGGCTCCTATTTCCCAGCCTTCCCAGAGGTTTTTTTTTTTTTTTTTTTTCCAAGATAGTGTCCCTCAGACTATTTGCCTGAGCTGGCTTTGAACTTTGATCCTGTTGATCTCTGCCTCCTAAGTAGCTAGGATTATAGGCACAAACCACCAGTGCCCAGCTTGGACAGAGATTTGAAGCCAAATTATAGAATGTTGGGGGCTGAGAGGCAGAAGCAAGAAAAGCCACTCATTTTGGCGTTGCTCTAAATCAGATGTATTCCAGCTTTGCTTTTACATAGAACTCAGATGGGAGCAATGAGCCAGCTGCCAACTGGTGTGGGTACAGTTTGGAGGAGGCCACAGGGGCTTCCTACCTCTGGGAGAAAATTCCACCTATGGTGGGAGAAGATCATAGGAGAGTGTGTGTGTGGGAGAAGGTGGGATGTTAAAGAATAAGGCAGATATGAGATGAGAGTAAATGGGGAATGGGATCTTGGGAGCTGGAGCAATTCACTGGCATCACAAATCCTACCATGAGGGAACTCATGGAGCCAGGACCAGCTATATAACTTGTGGGGGGCCCTGTGCAAAATCAAAATGCAGGGCTTCTTATTCATAAAGATTAAGAATTTCAAGATGGTGCAGCAAAGCATTAAACCAAGCATGGAGGCCCTCTAAGTGCAGGGCCCTGTGTGACTGCACAGGTCATAAGGCCTGTCATGTCAGCCCTGCATGGAGTGACCAACAAGACAAGAATGAGGAGACTTCTCAATACCTAGAGTGTGTTTATAGCAAAACACTGAGTGGAAGAGGTCAAGGCCCAAGACGTACACACCTCATAGCTAGAAAAGGTCATGAAAATTCAGGGCAGGTGCTGGTCTGCCAGGCTGCACCTGAGGTCTGCCCACTGCATCCACCTGAGGCCTGGGGGGACCTCCCTGGGCTTGCCCTGCCCACTCCCGATGCAAGATACCAAAAGTTGAGGGTCTTGGGCTGGCCACTCACTGAGTCATCCACTTCCAAATGGGTAAGAGATGCCTAAAACTGGCAGCACCTATAATGTCTGTGTTAGGCAAAGTTCATTGGCTCTAACTATGGTTCACAAAACCAAATGGCAGGTGGCCAGGGGTGGAGGCAGCTGTGAGGTTAGCTAGAATTAGGGGCTGAAAACCTTGTCAGGCTTCTCTTATCTGTTTGTTTCCTTTTGTGCCTGTTTCCTTCCACTTTTGTCTCCTTCAAGGCTTTCTCCTACACGACAAAGGCCATTCTGTTTTAGATTTAACCATATATTCTTCCAGTTGAAGGACTCGAGGGGCAGCCTCAGGAAACTTCTGGGGATGGGTTCTGATGACCCAGCTGGGTCATGTGTCCATCCCTGGACCAATCACTGGGAGGGGGATGGTGCAGGGAGCATGTACTGCCCGGCTCTGGCCAGGACAAGGCATAAATTGCCAGTGTGAGCTCCTGAACAAACCCGCAGAGTGGGTGGGGGTTGAAAGGAGGAAATGAGCAGCTCCTTCAGAGAAAGAGGGGCATTGTTTAGGCAGACAAAACACATGCCCACAGCCATGTCCAAACCTGGGGATTGGACCATCTTGTAGCGTGGCCCTACCCCCCTCCACCCTGAACTCTGGTTCTGTACAAGCAAGGAGCAGCTGTGTTAAGGAACGCCTTTGCCTGCAACACAGACAGCAGAGCCTAAAGGGAGAGGAAGGTGGAGAGGCCTGCTGCTGCCCAAAGTATCGCCCTAGCTGTGCCAGTCTCGGGATTGGTGAAACATCTCCAAAAACCCCTGTGGGGGAGGAAGAGGCTTCCCAGAGTCAGAAGGTGACCTTGTTCCCTTTCACTCTTTCTGAACTGGTGCCCTCAGCTCAGGAAGTTCTCAGAATCATGGCGGTGTGTTTGGCAGTGAGGAGGTGGCCCAGCCGGAAATGAGGGCCAGCTCGGTAGTTAGTTACCAGCTCAGTAATTAATGTGTTCTTGGGGACACCTCTCTGTCCACATGGAGGATTGACATGCCTATACCGGCACCCGGAAACAGGAAAGGTACTGGGTTAATATACAAACAGGCAAATGAGCTCGGTACTCAGCATCTAGCTGAGTGCCATGCCTATTCACTGGTTGCTGACTGATGCTGACTGACTGATACTAACGGATACTGACTGACTGACAGACAGTAACACTGTCTAACATCAACGGGCTATCTGATGCTGATTGACACTGACTACCCCATGATGGATTATGAATGGCTAACTGAGAGTGATGATGACTGACAGAGACTGAGTCTGATTCATTGATTTACTCATACTGACAAGTGACTGACTGAGAACTCTGATTACAACTTACTGACACTGATTGTGACTGACATTGGTCGTGACTAACTGAAAAATACTGACTGAGAACACCGATTATGACTGACTGACTGACATTGATGGTAACTGACTGACAGACTGAGTCTGATTTACTGACTGGCTACTACTGACTGAAAATTGACTGAGGACACTGATTATGGCTGAATATCTGGCTGACATTGACTGATGCTGACTGACAAGGCTGATATGAGGTCAGCACGTATGGCTATTGGGGGTGATTACTCTAGATTACCAAACCACGATAGTTCTGACTTTATTTGTAGTGAAACTGACTCTTGAATATAGAGCCAGGGTTTCACTATGTAGCACAGCCTGGCCTTGAACTTGAGATCCTCCTGTCTCTACCTCCCAAGTGCT